GGCAAGAACAGAGAGTGGAAGGGGGGGGATCCCTGTGGTGGGCAAGAACAGAGAGGGGAGGAGGAGCTCCACAACACACAGCTGCTCTGTGGACTGAGTGGTGTCAGCCCTTTTGCTAAACTACTCAAACCCTGCCACACTCCTAATCTCTCTAACCTAGACACACAATGATTCTGTAGTCTGTGATAAGAACTAGGAGATCCAATTACTCTTCTGGAGATAACACAGCAAGTGAGCACTGCGCAGAGCTCGGAATTTCTGGCGTGATCATTTGTTGCACTTCGATAAGACGAAACATATAGAACAGACTAACGGGGAGAAGTCCATCGCTCGGGTTCACATACATCCCCTGTACAGTATAGCACAGCCTGGCATGTCGGAGGGGCAGACAACGGCCTTCTATGGGGTTGTGGACAGGAAGTTGGATGCGGGTGCCAAAATGTCTGTCTGTCTTACAACCAAACAAACGTGTTTTAGGTTTTGGTCTATTAAAGAACAGAACCAGAAATGGATTTCTACAATTTAGGTGGAGTGGGACCGGACCTGATCTCCTGCAGGATCCTCACTGCGGTCTAGGACTTCAGCCTGTGTCCCCGGGTATCACCATGACTGGCTTTTTGGCTAAGCTATCATTGTCACCGGCCTGACCATTCTCTATATATTCCGCAGAGGTTTCCAGCAGAGAGTGCCTGAGATGTCTGCGCTTTCTCTCTGCATGGAGGACACCATCAGCTCGGTGACCATACAGTTTTGGGCCAGGCGCTGAGCTTGGGGAGGGCATGTCCAGCTATAAGGATCCTATATAGCGTTATAGACCTGGCATGGGACTCCCCCAGTCCCCCAACAGGGAGGAGAGCCATGTTGGGTGCGATAGATATGTCATGTTACACATTGTCCTTGTAGAATGTGGCGCTTTGCTGACCTCCCATGTCTCCGTGTATTTGCAGTGTTGATCCTCCTGCTTCTCATGTTCCGCTGCACCGCCAGAAACGCGGCCACCAAAGGTTTACTGTCCGAGTCCGAGGATGACGTGCGGGATAACGTGTTCAACTACAACGAACAGGGAGGAGGAGAAGAGGACCAGGTACACATACTCCAATCACATACAACCCCCATGTAGCCGTTCAGTGTAATACCGCAATATAGAGTGATGAGGAGAGGACCAGGTACACATACTCCAATCACATACAACCCCCATGTAGCCGTTCAGTGTAATACCGCAATATAGAGTGATGAGGAGAGGACCAGGTACACATACTCCAATCACATACATCCCCCATGTAGCCGTTCAGTGTAATACCGCAATATAGAGGGATGAGGAGAGGACCAGGTACACATACTCCAATCACATACATCCCCCATGTACCCGTTCAGTGTAATACCGCAATATAGAGTGATGAGGAGAGGACCAGGTACACATACTCCAATCACATACATCCCCCATGTACCCGTTCAGTGTAATACCGCAATATAGAGTGATGAGGAGAGGACCAGGTACACATACTCCAATCACATACATCCCCCATGTACCCGTTCAGTGTAATACCGCAATATAGAGTGATGAGGAGAGGACCAGGTACACATACTCCAATCACATACATCCCCCATGTACCCGTTCAGTGTAATACCGCAATATAGAGTGATGAGAGGATTGAATTGTGATGAATGTGTGTATGAGGATGTGTCCTCTGTGTGTCCATTGTATGATCATCTGCAGAACACGCAACTCTGCATGTAGATGTGTCTCGCTGATTTATTTGAGCAACAGCATTCAGGAGCGAGTCAGTCCAGACTAGACAATAGGTGAATGAATGTGTTTCTGCTGACAATGACACGTTATCCAGTCTATCCCCCTCAGATTTGTAACCCGACTTATTACTTATACTTATTATAAGTGACCTCGTTGCTCCACTAAAGACTTTACACCACGGCATACCTGTAATAGGGCTTCTGGACAGTGTTGATCTCCAGGGGCCCCTGTAACTCTCAATGGTTCCTTCCACATACCTCCAGCACATAGTAATGACTTGGAGGTCAGAGGGTGACCCTGGAAGAGGAGATGTCTCCGGATCGGAGCAGCGTTCAGCGGGAAAGCTGATTATTTACAAACTTCCATCACGGGTATGGCGTGATTCAGAGCGTTCATATAGGGACGTGGTCACTCTTAAAATGAATAATAATCTTTTCTTTATCGTCCGTTGATGGTCACAGGAAGTATTACTAGGGATGCCCTGATACCGGTATTTCCGTATCGAGTACCGATATTTTTTTTTCGGTACTCGCCAATACCGAAAGTCCCAATGAGGAAGCCAGGCGGCGTGTAAAGACTCGCCACGCGGCTTCCCGATTAGTAGGGAAGCCGTCCCCATGCTTCTCATCACTAGGTGGCGGGAAAGCATGGAGCCGGCTTTCTGGCCAATCAGGAAGCCGGGCGCTATGTAATGACGCGGTGCTCGGCTTCCTAATTGGCTGGGAAGCTGGCTCCATGCTCTTTTGTCATAAGGTGACGAGGGAGCATGAAACCAGCTTCCCAACCAATCAAAAAGCCACGTGCCGTGTCATTACATGGCGCCAACTTCCAACCGATTAGGAAGCTGGGCAGCGCATCATTAAACACTGTATCCGGATCACAGGTGACGAGAGAGCACGGAGCCGACTTCCCGGCCAATCAGGAAGACGGGCAGCGTGTATTGACACGCTGCCTAGCTTCCGGATACTGGAAATATCGGGCTAGGCATCTGAGCATTTGGCCGAGTATGAGTACTCAACCAAATACTCAGCATCAGCACCAATACCAATACTAGTATCGGTGCATCCCTAATTATTACAATTCTTAGACTGTCTCCTGTGGGCAGCAGTATAACCCAAGAGTCCAAAAATTCCTGTGCCGCTCAACGGACTCCAAGAAAAGGATTTTACAGTGTATACAACACTTCTGTTATTTCCGGTAATAAGAATAGAGAAGTCTGCGTTGCCGTTCATTTGAATGGCACCCCAAACGACGCACCTCCCGCCCACAGTTCTATCACCCGCATCGGAACACACAGTACTGCAATGCCGTACGTTCCATTGCAGTGTGACTTGGGTCACGACTTAATGACCAAGGACAAATTATAGTCCGGGGGTTACTCAGGTTGAGAACCACAGGGCTAAAGGATGTCTCAGATAGCCATTTCACCCATTGATCCCAGGGGTGCTGTGTGAAGCCGGGCTGGTCATCAGCTGAGGCCTATCCAGTGCAGTTGGTGCATCCAGTGCAGGTTGTGATGAAAATAGGAGTGTGCTGTAGGCCAACCAATCAAACCGTACTTATGTGCAGTTTATTCCGCCTTTGAATCTCATCTGTCACCTCGGATGTGGTCCGTCTCTCTGGCTGGTTGTCAGGCTGCTGGCTCCATTACAACCAACTTTAGTTCACAAACCACCAAAGGGGGAACACCCCCTATAACGAAGGTAAAGACCACTGTACGTTGGCATGGTTACCATGTATGCTCACGCTTTCCTTGTTCCATTCAATAATGATTTAATCGGAGAACCTCCTTACTCATAATACGGTCTGTTGTGCTCCAACAGGATGCCTATGATATAAATCGGCTGAGGAATCCCTCCATGCCAGTGCCACCATCACCCCGGCTAAAGCCCCCCATCCGTAGAGATGCGCCCTACAGCCAGACATTGCCTCGCTACCCCCGAAGACCGGTTGACCGTCCTTCTGACATTGCAGACTTCATTCATGATGTGAGTTTTTGAATATCGTTTTTCCCCTTACGAGCGGGCTCGATGCTCTTCGATGACCGCATTTCCTTTATGTTCTTCCAGGGTTTGCGAACAGCAGATTCCGATCCCAGTGTCCCACCATACGACACGGCCTTAATTTATGACTATGAAGGGGAAGGTTCTGTGGCCGGCACTCTGAGCTCCATCCTATCTGGTGACGGTGACAGCGATCAGGAATATGACTATTTGCTGGATTGGGGGCCGCGCTTCCGCCGCCTGGCCGACCTTTATGGACATGAGTGATGGTGCCAGATCCCCTCCTAAAGACTCTACGAGACTTCAATCCTTTCATCTAACTCTGAAGCTGGAAACATGGCTGAAGTTTATTTATCCGGGAACAATAATTAACAGGCTTTGCAGGAGACTTTACCGAAGGAATGTCAAGTGTAAATATCTTTGGCAGGACAGTATTGACCTATTTTTGTATGGCAGAGACGTCCTCAGCATGATCAGGAAGAAGTACCTGGTAGAAAAGACTGTGCAGGTCTCTAGTCATAGAACGCCGAATAATTGGTTTGCTTAGAAAATGTTTACAGTAGATAAAAGGACAAAAGAGTTTTTTTTTTTGTATAAGTTAATAAGACCAGAAAATAAAAGTGAGAACAGGGACCATCTTGTGACAACAAGACAATCAAAAATATGATACTGACCACTTTAAGAGTTGGTTACTGGTCTTGTGCGTCAAATGGCAGCACCCAATGCATCATGCTGCATATATGGCTAACTGGGGACTCACAAGTAAGATTTTGGGCCATGTCTCGGGGTTTCAACTTGACAGGAATGTTTAAAAGGAAGGTACTTGGAGCTACGGCGTAGACCAGAAGCAGTTTGTGATCTGCTGGAACACATTTCCTATCTGCACTCTCTCACTGCTTCTGTTTGACAATTTCCCATTAGGATATTGCAGATCCAGTACATAAGTTGCAGTTGGATTTGATGTGGATCCTAGTCGATGGACCCCGTCTGATCTGTGGCCACATAGACAGGATGCTTGATGGATTTGTCAGGGGAGGTGAGGCTGGGTGAGAACAGGAAATCTCCAGCTTATAGCAGATGGATCCAGAAGTTACTGATGGACAGGACACAGAAAGTATGGAGGAGTGAGAATAATGCAGAAGGTAAATAAGGGAACTTTGCAGCAGGTGGTGATAAGATGATCAGGTTTGGTTCAAGGTGAGCAGAGGATTCTGGCACTGTCACAAGTGCAGTGGTTCTTCATGGAAGTAGCTCAGTGGTTCTAAGATGGGGAACTCTCTGGTAGCTCCAGGCTTTTTAGTATAATAAAAAATAATTTTGTGTCACGCTTTTTGTCTGAAGTCTCCTATTTACCATCACGGCAGGAAGATGGGAAGTACATTGAATCATCATCATTATCACAGGTCCAGTTTCGCATTAGAAGCGTTTTGCCATTCTCTTTGGAGCTGGATAAAGTGTTTGCATTTTTGGTAGAGATGGTGGACGTGGCTTTCAGGGTTGTAGTCCTCAAAATGCCTGATATCGGTGCATCCCTAGTCAGTATATCCAAAGTGTTCTGTCCTCCTCTCTGCTGCCAACTGCTGAGACAAGGTGGTGGGTGGAGACGAGGGGGGTGACGCAGGAAAGGTTCGAGGACCACAAGAAATGCCCTGGTGGGCCGGATTCCGCCTGCGGGCCTTGTGTTTGACACATGTGCACTAGAGAGACCCTCCGACGTGTCTAGGTTCTACATACAAGAATGTCTCTGCTGGGTGTGTCCTTCAATATGTAACATTCATCAAAAACTATTTATTCAGCATGTGTGCTTTATCACTAAGATTTACTTTTTTTGGATACCAAACTTGTTTTGCATCCCTCGTCCATGTCACGGCAGCTTGACTATTCTGTCTCATTGACTCTGCTGACCAGCGTACCATGACTGTACTCTGAACAATGGTCAGTGAAGCGTGTGCAGGAAACCATGAAGAAAACAAAAAGGAGTATACAATACTTTTTACATACACCAGGACAGGGCTGGGTGAACATGAAACTAGAATGGATTTGGGTCAATTTTTTTTTTTTTTTTCATATACACAATTCTTGTGTTACAAATAAACATGGAATACCTGACAAAGGATTCCCAGATCACTACCAGTTAGCTAAAACCACAGCTCTTTAACCGCTGCCTGCTTTGCGGCTCCCATTTTCTGATTGAAACCTTGGACTTATTGTTAGGATAAATAGTGGCTTGTTGAGTCATCCAGTAAAATGGATCTAGAGTCATGGAGCCTCTAAACAACAGGCTGTAAATGAATAGTGATATAAAACACACTACACATTCTGTATACGTTGTTACATTTTGGTTCCTGCCTTGCATAGAGCAGATTTTTAATCTACAGATCGGCAGTACGTCCACGTGTCCCTTTTCTGTCCTGTAACCATAACATTGGAGTGGCCGCATCTACTGTCTTCAGTAGATCAGTGTTAGGGTCGGGATCAGTGTAAGGGTGCCCACACACCTTACGATAATCGCGGGAAATCCCGCAATCGTACGATTATCGTAAGGTGTGTGGAAGCCGTGCAAACTCTACTACTGTAAGGTCGCACGACTTTTAACTTACGAACATGTTTGAAAACCCGCCGAGCATCGTACGATGTTTGGCGGGTGTGTAGCATGTTCGTAAGATAAAAGCCGGACGGGCCGGTGTGCGCAAGCTCACACTGCCCGTACGGCATTGCGGTCATCGGAAGCCCGCCCCCAGGGGGCGTGGCTTGGGATCATCGCAAGTACGATCTGCCTGTCCAAGATAGGCAAATCGTACGTTTTTTTTATTACCTTACAACCATCGCAAGACAAAAGTTGCGATGGTTGTAAGGTGTGTACCCAGCATTAGGAGTGTGAACATCATTTTAGGGTTTAGTGTGAATGATCAGGTTCCAGGCAGAGAGGGTTACATGGTACCGAGTTTAGTGTTACGGACATTTTTCAGAAGTCAGGTAAACTACAATTTTCAGCGACAGAACTGCACCCCAAGTTCCAGCGTACTGGTACCAAGAGCCAGTACCAGTGTGCCAATACCAAGCACCAATACCAAGTGTGCCAGTACCAAGTACAAATACCAGTGTGCCGGTAACAAGTACCAACGTGCCAGCTTACCAATACTAAGTACCAGTGCCAAGAACTAACATATGGTGGGAAAATACCTTTTCTTATAATGAAGACACCCCGATTCCTTTTATTGAGGGAACACATTATTTCCGGGTTTAGTGTGAAGGAATAAGAAGGAATCAGGGCAGCTTTTGAACAGGAAGTGCAGAGATCTGATTTGATGAATATTCACCTTATGCACAGTCTGCTGTGGGCTTCCCCTTGAATGGAAGGTGGAGGTACACAGAGGATTGTCTCTTCTGGATAAATCATTGTTACAGGCTTTGGGGAATATGGTGCTGAAAGAATCTCGGTACTATCCATGTACTATACATGTATATCTCTAGTCCATCAAACCGGGTAATGTTTTTTTTTTAAATGGCTGCAAGACAAAAGGTTTTCTCAATGACAGAGGAAGATGAGCGGCGTGATCATCCTGAGACAAGATGATTGATTGTTGATGCAACCACCGGTAAGGGGCCCCTTTTATAGCAATATTTTTCCTATAGCCGGGTAGACTAACATATTCCTCATCTCAGTTAGATCTCTCTGCCAGGATTCCTGACTCTGATCCCACCAGCCTCTGGGTTCTCCGGCTCCCCCTGATGTATTCTCCAGACTATAAAATAAATTCTAACTTCACAAATCCAAATGCTGCAGAAATGCCGGAGACATATAAGAGACGTCAGGTGGTTTAACTCTCCAGCATCTACCGAACACCAAAATATTATTTTTGGGTGACTTGACCCCTCAAAGAGGCACCAGTCACCCGGCCATTCATTTCAGCGACAATCTTCCCATAATACCAGATGTGCATTTCATATCATTACTCATGATATTTACCTGTAAAAAGCCTATATTATTCCTCTTCATTTCTCCCCCAGCAGCTACATAAAATATTATGTAGGGAGGTAAGGGGTGGAGGAGCTGGGCCAACACAGACAGTAATTAGACACTCCAAGAAGAGGAGAGGGCCATGACGTAGAATGAAGGGGCTGTGCAGGGGTACCAACTCTTACCAAAGTAGTCAAATTTGGAAGCAAGTTCAAAGGCACATTGCAAGTGAATAAAAAAAGGTTCATTGACAGGAAAATCAATTAAAATACTCGATTTTATCCCAACTTTCCATGCAATTTGTAAAGTTGGTGGCAGGGTCTCTTCAAAGCAGGAGCGTGACATATGGAGGGGGATACTCAGCAACATATCAAGCGTTACTTTGCTATGGTTTTGGGTGCCAAACAACTTGGTCTTTGGTAGTCTGTTGAACATATGACTATCAGAGGACCCCCGGTTCATGTTCTGGGGCACTTCTTGGGGTCTTCATTTGGAAATGAGTGACAGAAGGCACAAACGGTGACTATAGAAGTGTAGTGCTCTCTGCTGGCAGTTATATATCTATATATATGTTTCACTCCTCCTCTTGCGTTTTGAATTACCGTTGTATGAAAAGTCTCCAGCGGGATCCAAGGTGCGGCTCTGACATATTGCACGTCTATGCCAACATTTTGCACAGAGGCTTCAAATGGTGCAGAGCAAAATATCCCGAGACCTTTGATAAACAATTCATAGCAGACTCTCTGGTCTTGGTGAATTCCCAGCCAGGATGGGCCCTGCTGGTGCCGGCAATGGTGCGGGTCAGACCCGGGTCTGAAGAGCTGGCCAAGACTAAGGATAGGACAGTAAAAGGAATAAGTCAGTCTGTTTTTTTTTTTAGCTGCTCATTTGGGATTCCTCTGCTTGCAGAACAGGAGGTGGTGGTACGGTGTTTTACAAGTTTGGGGACAGGAGAAGCAGAGGATTCTGGGACTGTTACAAGCACAGTGTGATGCTACATGGAAGATGCTCGATGGTTCACTCCATCTATTTCCGCATTTTGTGGATCAGTGTCATCTCGGCTCTCCCAGTTGCCATCACAGCAGTAAGCGCACTCTATTGCACGGTGCCCGCATCGTATCCATGTAATGGCCCTATTACTCGTCAGTAAGCGCTTTGTTATCCTCTCCGGATTTGGACCCAGTTCTGATCATTTTTTTGGTGGAGCTGGCAAGGCAGGCATAGTTCTCGGGATTGTAATCCGTACTGGGTTTGTCTGGGGATAGTAAGGGTACGGCATCCTGGGTGGCTTGGAGGAGAAGGGGTGGGCGGCGCAGGCTGTCGCCTTGTCTCAGGGTGTCAGGGAGACTCTTCCTTTTGGTCTCGGGCAGAAGAAGAAGGCTGAGGACAGACAGGATACAGAAGGAGGACAGGACCACATGGAAGAGGAAGAAGCCGGACCTCTTCTGGAGAACGATGATGGGGAGGGCCGCTCGACCCAACATGCTGATTCCCAGAATCACACCTAGGCCGGAGCCCCTAAACAGTGACAGGAGGAACGGGAAAAGGAAAAGTCAGTTCACAGACTTCAAACTCCATAAAGAGCAGAATTTGCTCCAAAACACATTACACTGACCCTTGCAATATTTATGAACTTTGTTTAGTGTAGGTAGGAGGCTACAGAATGTATTACCAGCAGTGACAGGTCCTCTTTTAGGTAATGGCTAATGGAACCTGATCCAATGAACAAATGGGCAGTGAATGCTCTTCATAACCAAGGTAATCCACCTAATGGGCATGTTATGGGAAATAAGCAATGAATGATCAGCACCACTCATCGTTCACGTGGGCCATTAGGTCATAATTTGACTCTTACACAATTTGGTGCCCTGTAGAGGGAGTATCACATGACCACGTTGCCTCCAGCTCTGTAAAAGTCTCTTGCCCTTAGGGCAAACAGTGGAGACAGTGAGCTGACTGAGGTCCATTGATGCACAGTCCCATCACTCCCTTTAATATAAAGGGACCGGGGATAATGGTGGGCTGTGCTTAGTGTTAGGGAGCGGGTCTTGGGGGTGGCACCCACAGCTGTACATATAGAAGAAGTCCTGCTTACCGGATGACTGTTGGCAGCACCTCGCTGGCATAGAAGACGCTCAGCATCACCACAGCGTGGGCACAGAGGGAGCCGAGGACAGATATGGCTATAGAGGCTCCGGAGAAGAGATCTGCAAGGGGAAATACAGAAACTAGTTACAGAGGAAGTGGGTATGTGCCGAACACACGACAGCCAATCAGGACAAGAGAGAGACCCGTACACTGTGTGAGCGCCAGGAGCAGCAGAGAGCAGAAACCGGTCAGTATGGTGCAGAGCAGGAGAACGGCCCGGCGCCCCCAATGGTTCACAGTGATACAGAGGAATATACAGGCCAGAGCCTCACTGCCGACCTGCAGGAAATATGGGAAGGAGTCACCCAGAACCATGAGGTTGTGAGCAAAGCACGGCCGGATCCCACAGCCGATGAACCTGTGAACAGAAAGGGTGAGAGTTAATATTCTAGCCTCAGGCAGATTCAGGTAGTTAAAAATCACACATCATATTCTTAGGTCTCTTTGGGACTCTTCTAGAAATTTTGCACAGGTTTCCCAGCTCCGCCCACCTGTACACTGTGACCATAGTGAGGGGAGCTATAAGTGGGAGCAGAGATAGGAATTCCAGCAGACAAGAAGAAGATAATTCAGCTCTTTTGTCCAATATAAAAAATAATTGTACAGGGAGGATTCTGTGTAGACCAGGGATGGCCAAACTCCGGCCCTCCAGCTGTGGTGAAACTACAAATCCCATGAAGCATCTCTCTCCAGGAGTCACCTCTGTTGCTGTGAGAATCTTGCAAAGCCTCATGGGATTCGTAGTTCCACCACAGCTGGAGGGCCGCAGTTTGGCCATCCCTGGTGTAGACTCAAACTGTTTGTGGACATCTAACCATCACACATCATATGAGCTTGTTGGACATCCCAACCCATGGCCATACATATGTTGTTGGCCCCATATCTGCTGTAATAATGGCCTCCACTCCTCTGGGAAAGCTTTCCACAAGATCTTGGATTGTGTATGTGAGACTTTGAGCCCATTCAGACAAAAAAGCATTGGTGAGGTCAGCTACTGATGTTGGATGAGAAGACCTGGCTCACAATGGGCATTCCAATTCATCCCAAAGGTGTTCCGTAGGGTTCTGTGCAGCCATTTGAGTTCATCCACATCAAACTATATCTATAGGAAGCTGGCTTTGTGCAAAGGGGGTACAGTCATGTTGCAACACAAAAGGGCCTTCACCCAACTGCTGCTACAAGACTGGAAGCACCCCGACGCTGCTAAATTTGGTCTAGACATCCAAGTTTCAAAAACCGTTGGTCACAAAGGGTTAAAATGAGCAATGAATGAGAATACAATGGCACATATCTCAGTGTACTGAGAGAGAAGTCAAACATTATCCAGGATTTGTCTCCCTGTGCCCGGATACCATTCCATCCAATGACCGTTTGGCATGAACACGTGCTATTGCTTGGTATGCTGAAAAGAACAGCATTGTGTCCATGAAACAGTCGCTGCCGGGATTGCTTTCTATACCTGATACAGAAACAAAAGGAGGGAAAAAAGCCACAAGTGTCCCGGATTCTTTTATGCTTTGAGGAAAAGTGAATTTACAGTCTGAGGTGCATCGAATGAACATTTTAGTTACCCAACAATCAGATTGAATGGTCAGTGATGGAAAAACTTGATGTGTCTGGCCAGAATTAGGAAGGTTGTTGTCTGCACATAAGAGAAGATACAATAGAGACGCATCTGAAGGGGGAGGGGGTGAGACTCACGTGGTGAATCCCAGAATCAGAGCATTCTTCCATATAAGACGGGTCCTAAAGATGCTGCATATGTTGTAATACCGCGGCCGGGGAAAACCCTCCCATAACGAGTCTATATCTGTAAAAAAGACACATTGCATGGATAATGGAGAAGAGGAACGTCTGAAAAAAACACAAGAAGATTTGTAGCTGTGACAATGATTATAGTCAACTAGCAGTCCCCTTTTATAGGCCCTATCGCCATATTGTGTCCCCTGGGCATCACTGGTGAATAGGATGAGCTCGGGTTTGGTATCTGAAGTTTGGCATCAGCGCATGCCCAATAAGCTGCAGTAGGGACATTCCCCACCCCACATGTAAACAAAGATGGTGGGATGCTGGTGTCATCCTTATATGGTCACATGGTCATATTTGGTCAATGACATTGCCCCGTCCGCAGCTGATTGGGCTTGAGCGGAGGCCTAACTTACAGGTTCGGAAAAATTCAGGTAAGAACCAAACCTGAGCTCATCCCTACTGGTGAAATAATGACTGCGCTTCTTGAAGAATGTTGTTCATTATCAACAGGGCTTGAAAAATCTGCGCGTCCTCTCGTCTGTGATGAGGACACAGGAGCCGGACGAGCAGCTTCCTGGCCGGCCGTTGAATGAAACGGCCGGTAGCTTTACATTCAAGCGATCGGGCATTTGTAAAGACGCCCGTCCGCTTGTATTAGCTGCGGTTTTCCCCCCTCCCCCCGCAGCTGTCACTGCGTTGCTGGTCCCGAGATCCGCTGTGCCCGGTGCTGCTCTGTGACAGGAGATCGGTACACGCTCTCCCTCTGATCTCCTCTCCAGTCCCTGAATGCAGGAAGTGATGTATATTACATCACTTCCGCATTCAGCTGTCATTCCACATACAATAAAATTGGACCACAGACTCTTTTTTTTTTTCTCTCGCATTTTTCCTGTTTTGGTTCACACGGCTCAACACTACAGGTGAATACAGAGCACAGCGCGGCTGTGTGCACTGGCCCTACAGCCTATCATACTGCTGCATTTAGCTCAGTATAAAACTGCACACAGTATGGATCTGACTGCAGTATTTTATATGCCTATGTGCATGAGCACTGTAGTGAAAAACAAATCAGCAATTGCACTTTGCACTCTGATCAGATAAAGCCAAGTACATGTAACAACACAGGAGGGAGGCTGGCGTGTTAACATTCTGGACAAATGTACACAATGACAGTGGATGTGCAGTTCCACATCACAGCCTGCGGGGGCGCTATTACCTTGTGTTATCCATTAACCTTGGAGCAAATCGTCATTACCTGTAAACAGGCCGTCTCCGCTAGACAGGTCCTCCCTGGTGTCTACTCCATTCGCTCTGGAGAACAGATACAGCTCCGCTTTCAACTGATTAACCTGCTGGGTGGCCAGGAGCCAGCGAGGCGATTCGGGAAACAGCAACCTGCAGCTGTGCACAAAGAGAAAGTGTAAAGAAACAAAGTCCGGGGCAACGCATTAAAAACACTCCATGAACTGATCGCACTGCAAAACACTGCAGCTGATTTACGTCAAAAGTGTAAACGATCTGCCAAAAACATCCAAACACCCCCCACCCAACAAGATTTCCCCAAACAACCCATCCACTATTCCACTATGGTGTTTCTGAGTAGAAGTGATCACAGAAGAGGAATGCTGATTAGCTAGAGGGCGACGAGGAGAGGAATCGGCATGTAGGAGGTCTAAACCCAAGGACATAATGTAATATATGGGCAGTCATTTTTTTTTTTTAGACTAGGAACATTTTCAGCAAGTACATAAAACAGCTGCTGATCTTGCCAGAAATGCCGAGTTGTCGTCACCTCCTGTGAGATGAAGCACAAACAATGTTATCTTCTTTTATTACACTAGGGGCAGATGTGTTCAATTGTGTGACACCTATGGCTGCCCCTGTATATATAGCGGGGTGAGGGAGTGGAGCAGGATTACCAGGGAAAAACTAATGCAGCCACCACATTTTAGGACTGGTAAGCTCCAGTATGTTATATTTTGTTTTTTTGGGTATAGATTCACTTTAACCAATAGTCTTAGAGCTAAAGTGTAGTGAATGTATTTAATACCTTCCCTTGTTGTCCAGCCCCTTCCTCATCAACATGCAATTACATTTTTGAATCAAATTATTTCATTTTTGAGCTCTTTTTGCTCCATAGCAAGGTCGAGTTTGGTGGGAGGAGCTGACGGGCTCCTGTAAACATTACAGCACCTTGCCTGGGGTGTTACATGAAAGAACACATCCCTGGCATCCGTCACTGACTGTAGTGCTCTTCTCTAACAATATATGAAAGAATACATCCCTGGCATCCGTCACTGACTGTAGTGCTCTTCTCCAGCAATATATGAAAGAACACATCCCTAGCATCCCTTTGGAAGTGAATCTCTGCTGGCCAATGGCTGCTACAGACACTTACACTCTGAACGTAACCAAACTGAGCAACAGATAGCACAGCTCAAGTCTGCAGAAGCCAGTGGCCAGCAGAGAAGCACTTCTAATGGGATGCTGGGAATCTGTTCTTTCATATATTGCTCGAGAAGAGGAAGTCAGGGGCGTGCCGGTGCATTGAAGTCAATAGCAGCCACACACCCCGTCCGCAGTGCGATTGCCGCACCTGAACGGGTGGCACATCTTTGCAGATCGCTCTGGACCGGAAAGCAGGCACTACAACTCTTGGAGGGTTGGCGGAAAAACCTCAGACTACAACTCTTGGAGGGTTGGAGGAGAACCTTCACAGACATACAACTCTTGGAGGGTTGGTGGAGAACCTTCGCAGACATACAACTCTCGGAGGGTTGGTGGAACAGGTCCACTTCTGAGCAGTTATCTTCCTAGCTGGGAACAGTGCATACACTATGGCAGTTTTCTAGTTAATATCCTCATCGGAGACGGATACATAATCTAGAATATCTTCGGAGGATTATCATTGGTGGAACTCCGGCAAAATCTTAGTCTTTGCTATAGCGCAGAATGGTTAGAGACAACGCCAGGTCTTATCGCTGTCTGTAGGGGCCACTCACTTCTTCACCTGATCAATCATCACCAGGAGGGCAGGTGAGCGTAAACCATGTCAACGTTTCACTGGAAAAGGTTTTCTTATTAACCCCATCAAGCCAATGTATAATGAGTTGAATGTATTCATTTGAGCACATGCTGTCAAGTCTCATCCTGCTCCCTCCGCTCTCCTTGCACATTTTCTGGGAATGTTTGTCTGTAGTTGTAGAAAAGAAACAATTTGAAGGACCGCCTATTTTACTTACCACCAGTAGCCCAATAATAAGGCTAAAAGGCCAGTGATCACCCCCTGTAGGATCTTCCAGTCACTACACAGGACAGCCAGGCCTGGCAAAAGGAGCTCTCCGCCCAGCCAGAAAAAGCCGGCAATCATTGTAATCATAAGTCGGCGACCAGGAAGGCAAAGCTCCAGTCCTTAAATAGGAAGAAAACAGATTACAGCAGGTTAGCTAATAGACTGAAGGGGCAAATATGTGTAAGTAACCCAATCAAGCAATCTGTGTAAAGTCGGCCATAAACCTCACAATCTGTACAATCAGCTTTAGAAGGACAAACCTAAACAATGTACTCAATTTGTATCCAATAGAAAAGGTAATACACACTATATGTGCTACATAGTTGCTGGTAGATCTAAAGGAGATTGTATAACGAGCGGGTAATAATGAGAGCTTCTGACCACGCATCAAGCCAGTTAGAAAGTGTCCGAGTGATGGGCTCTGACCATCTGTATACCATTACACTATACCAGCCAAGTCACTGAAAAGAATGTAGGCGGCCATTGCCAACCTTCTTCAGAAACTGCTACTTGGATTCAAGTCAGAACTCCTCATCTGCATGCTTATTTCCACATGGTGATTCAGGACGTCGTGAAGCCAGAGGCACAACATGACAGCCAGGACACTAGCATTTCCAGAAGGCAGTCAGTAATGGCTGCTCTCACATTTTACTTAAATTTCCTTTGATGGGTCACGGTGAGTGATGGCAACACTGTGATGGGTCACTGTGTGTGATGGAACCACTGTGATGGGTCACTGTGAGTGATGGGAACACTGTGATGGGTCACTGTGAGTGATGGGAACACTGTGATGGGTCACGGTGAGTGATGGGAGCTCTGTGAGTGACGGGAACACTGCGATGGGTCACTGTGAGTGATGGGAACACTGTGATGGGTCACTGTGAGTGATGGGAACACTGCGATGGGTCACTGTGAGTAATGAGAACACTGTGATGGGTCACGGTGAATGATGGCAACACTGTGATGGGTCACTGTGTGTGATGGGAACACTGTGATGGGTCACGGTGGGTTTGAAGATGGGGCAGACGTCTTATTGCCGCCGCTCTCTGTGGCACAGAGGCAAATGTCACCTACCTGAGTCTCCTTACAGCCGCGACCAGCTTGTAAGAAAGAAAAGAGAAAAATCATATGACAAACATTCTGATGTAGCCGCGGAGTGAAAATCTCTGGGAATGCAGAGCTAAGTGGAGCAGTGCTTTTCCCAGCTGCAGATTCCTTCCCCACCACTCTGCTGGCCCAGTGTATGGTCCAAGTCCCAACTCAGAGCTTACACCGGGCTGAGGACTCTCTCCCCACCCCCATGTGGCAGTGCTGGATGCCTAAGTGACCAATCGCAGTGCTGTCACATAGGAGGAAGGGGAGCACCTCATCTGCTCCTTAATACCTTGAAGAAACAGGCGTGTCACTTTGCTTCCTCAGGCGAATGTGTTGGCAGAGGATTGAGAAGAAGTTAAATAATAAAGATGAACCTGTTGCTGCAGTGCACTCTGGGAACCTGCAGTCTACAAATTCCAGCTTTTAAAATAGACAACCCTAAAGTGCACCCACAACCTGGCACCAAAAAGAGTGGAACGAGCATTGCATTATGGGACACACCAGAGGTGATCACCAGTTATTATTCTGCACCCAAAGACAAGTTTGCTATACCCCGTTCTTCCAAACAAAAGGTCCTTTTACCATTTCAAAAGTAATGACTGAAACGTTAAATATGTTTCTATCTTATGATCGTGACTCTTGTTAGTTATCTGTTTCTTGTTGTGTATTGCACAATTACACACTTTTGCTGATAATCTAATGTTTGTCCTGCTCCCACATACTCATAACAGCCCGTTCCTTCTGAATGTCCCGACTGAAATCAAATTGTATCCACTCATGAATGTGCGTACGTGGCTCACAAGGACACGTATTTGTATGATGTCTTATAACTGTATATGAGCTGGTGATGTGCTCACAATAAACTGAACATATTTGACTCTCCTTGGTGTCTGTTATTGTGTGTTCCCGGAGCTCTGAAAGTTCTTTCTGGTTGTCCGGTTATCAAGTTACCCCAACAATAACAGGTGCACTTTAAAAACCCACTAAACAAACTACAGGCCAGAATACATAAATGATCTCTAATAGTATTCCTGAATGAAGATTTGAGATCAATGAAACTGTATAGAGAGGGAGCACATTTTAAAGTGCACATATGAAACTTCCTGTCCAGTAAAACAAAAATTATAATTTTGAGGTCTCCTCCAGCCAAAAATAGCAGCCGAAGGCTGCAAGTCCAAACCACCCAGTAGGATGCCCCGCAGATCAGATGAGGCATGGCGCTAATAAACAGGAAGTCAGCGGTGTAGGTTTATATCGCCCGCCCCCCCGCCGCCCAATTACAAGTAATTTCCTAATGAACTTTTGAAGATACACCTTTATAATTGGCCAACTACGGTAGTAGCTTAGGATCACTGGATATGTTTTACCTCCATTGACTTTATATACAAAGATGAGCTTTGCTAGGCATTGTGAACTTCGCTTATCAAAAAGTGCACTTTATTAGCCCTCATTCACACGTGTAACAGCCAGCCCGTACAGATCTGTGCTGCATGCTTGGCCGTAGCGGGCTGATTCCGGGAAGGACAGGTGCTGCATGTGATTTGTACGCAGCAGCCTGTTCTTCTCTATGTAAGTACGCAGTCATACGCCGCCCTACGCTCACCCACCCTGCAAGTCCGTGCGGGCGTCCGTGCCCGTACGCTGACAGGATGGATCCTGTCAGCGCCCAAGCAGGGACACCCGCACCCATATGGACGTGCAGTTCGGGTGAACATATGGCCACGTACTCCCATAGAGAAGAACAGGCTGCCGTGTACAAATCACGCGCAGCACCTGTCCTTCCCGGAGCGGCCCGATACACCCACGCACGCAGAACAGATCTGTACGGGCCGGCTGTTAATCGTGTAAATGAGGGCTTAGAGTTCAATTAAACTATGTTATACTTTTATATTTATTATACTTTTTCCCTTATATTGTTCTCCCGCTATGTATTTACCTTGATCAAAATCAATAAAAGGAAAATATATAAAGAAAAATATATAAAAAAAAAATATAAAAAAAAAAAAAAAACAAAGCTTTAGGAGTTAAACTGGAACTTTTGGCGAGGATCCTACCCCAACCACCCCCCTGCATTTCACGTTTCCGTCACAAAGTTCCAGCATTCGCGGCACCCACTCAAAGCAAACACCAAGGGACAACTTGAGGAGGGAATGGGGGGGGGCGGCCGTGCTGGCTTCTTTCCTCCAGTACAGTAAACACATGATCACACTTACTAGCTATGTACAGAGACAGGAAGATTCCAGCCAGAGCTGCTCCGAAGCCGGCCTGGAGGGGAAGGAAGCTGAGGAATCCTGGAGAAAAACACAAGGCCACTCCAAATGGCAGAGCCACCACCAGGGAGCTGATGAACGCATTGCGCCGTCCAAACCTAAAATAAAAATAAAAAAAATCAATGAGAAATACAGCAAGAAAAATATATTTATACCAAATTGTCCAACTTCTGTTATTTTCCTGGAACTCCCCGGACTTTGTGCTGCTCTACCACTGTGATCCAAGAATCTGTACCCAGAGCTGTAATCGTCAGCGATGACCTGCAGTGCCACCTACTGGTGACACCCGAAATTGCTGTGCAGCCTTAAAATACAATGATTCCTTATGGGAACCGCTGTATGTTTATATCAGTCCAGCAAACACTCCTGCTAACTTCTATAAAGCAGGGAGGGCGGAATGAACAAATCCTAAAATATCAAACAGGTCAGCTAATTCATTCTGTCATTATCACAAAATGTACACTACACAGCCAAACGTTTGTGTACCCCGGACTATCACTCTGATATGAGTTGCGTCATCTATTGTATTCATTGACTTCACTGACACACCTTGCTCTTCATCTTGGTAAACATTGATTATTCAAATGAAATGCTGCATGGGTGGGGGGGAGGAGGGGGTCCAATTGTTCTAGCAAATCTGGCCATTTCAGACAAGGACTAGTGAGATTTGGTCATGCATTATATGTGGACACAACCTCCAAATTTTAGGAGTGCCCTTCACTGGAAGCACTTTAGGTGCTTCCAGTGAAGGGCACTGTTAATAGTACAGCATATAAAGACATTTAGACCCTTGGTTCTCAACTGGTGGGTTGTGACCCAAAAGTGGGTCGCAACCCCGTGTTCAGTGGGTCGCCGCATGCCTTCCAGTTTTCTAGGTGAGGGGCCTCTGCCTCCCCCTAGCGCAGTAATGTCAGTTCTCCAAGCAGCCATTCAGAATATGCTGCCGGGCACCGAGTGTCAGCTTGAGGTGGGGGTGGGCTGGGGGTATGGCTGCGAGGGAGCTCCATCCATTTGTACATTGCTTACAGCTCCCTCACGTGTCCTGTAGAGGTGCCTGGACCGGAGTGACATCACATTCTGGCTCCCGGCACCTCTACAGGAAGTGTAAGTGAGCTGTACACACAATGCACATATGGGTGGACCTCTGTCACAGCACAACAGCCCACACCAGGCCCCAGGCTGGGGATCCACTCCAGTTCTCATAAGGTAGGGAGAGTGGGTGGACCTTAAAAAAAAGAGAAAACATTTTTGGAGTTTGTGTGAGATTGTGTCTGTGGTTGTGTGTATGTCAGTGTTTTTGATGCCCGTTCACACTAGTACAGTGCGTTAATCACATAGTACCGTGCAATTAACGCACTGCACCATGCAATCGCACCTACCGTGCATTCTTGTGAGGGAGGTGTGTTGCTTTGCCATTCATTTGAATGTCACCCCAGACGCACCTCCCACCCACAGTTCGTATGCCTGCATCGGAACGTGCGTTACCCTGATGCCGTGTGTTCCATTGAGGAGCAGACATTGCAGTATGACTTAAAAGGAGAACTATGGGGTTAAGGCTTTTCCCCATAGTTCTCCGTAGGGTAACGGGAGGACACAAACTAGCGTCCTCCCGTCACCCTAAGCTCAGTATACCGCGAGCTACTGCTCATGGTTTACCGAGATGCCGCAGCTGAAGTGGATCCCGACAATTATGGCTGGATCCGCCCAGCTGCCTCTGCCTATCTAGAGGCAAAGCCAGCTGTACCCGCCCCATCCCCCGTCTGTTCCGCCAGTCAGCGCTATCGGAGCGGGGAATCCAGCCCCTCCCCTGTCACGGCAGAGAGCCGTGACAGGATCGAGAGGTGAGTGAACGCCGGTATGTGTTCGCTCACCTCCCGATCTACTGAGCCGTCTGTGACAGTCTCATTGTCACAGGTCGGCTAGAACTATGAGGTGAGTGAAAAGCACTCACCTCATAGTTCTCCTTTAATGACCGAGGACAAATGTGGGTCCTGAGGTTACACGGGTGGAGAACCGCGGATTTAGACAATTGTGAGCTTCCAGTCTTCAGGTAACAGTTCAGTGAAGGCCATTTTCTGTTCCAGCATGACGGTGCCCCTGTGTACAAATCCAGATCCATAAAGACGCGGGATGATGGGTTTGGGGTGGAGTGACCTGATCAAAGCTCTGACCTACTGAAGACCTTTGGGAGGAATCAGAATGCCGACTGTGAGCCCGATCTTCTCATCCAACATCAGTAACTGACCCGTCATAAACATGGACTGGAATTTGTCCCATGGAGGCACAGGAGGAGGGAGGGGGGCAACGCTGAGGCCAGGTGTCCATAGCAGACACTCCATCCTCAGGGCATGTTCAGCCCCCTTATATGAATTTGTCACAAGAGTTCTAGATACGGCCATGACGCCACGACTGTGTCACAAAGCCTTTATTACATGGCCCCTATAGACTATTTAAAGGGAACTACTGTAGGCTGCCATTGCTGGACCTCCTAAAAATGTGAGCCACCTGGCTGTCCCCTAGTGTCAGAGACTCAGAAGAAGTGAGGATGTCTGATGTGTGTATTTGCTCCGGGTAGCCAGGCAGCTTGCATTTTGGCAATGGCAGCCTGGAGTTTGGCTTCTTTTAGAGCCCATTGACACCAGATTGGCCCGCTGCAGAGCATTCAATACACACGAGTTAACACGCCTTGCACTGAAGCAGCCGATTTGTGTGAATGAGCTCCCGGAATATCCCAGGGGAGCCAAAAATCTGACCTGAATCAAGTCAGGTAGAGGAGCTCTGCAATGCAGGTGCGTTCGGTTGAATGCGTTGCGGTGCATTACCATACGTTGCCGTTACTACAATAAACTGGTGTTAATGGGCCCTGAAAGAGAGTACAGGAATGATCTCACATGCACAGAAGGGAATGAACAAGTCATAGGACAGAAGTATCACCTACCTGTCACAGATGCAGCCAAATATGATGTAACCAACCATCCAGCCAATCAGGTAACAGATCTGCGCCAGAGGCACCTTCCATTCATCGTCACACACGAGGTCCCACTGATAACATAAACACACCAGGTATGAGCAGATCATCCCTCAATGTGCCCATCACCCACCAACAACTGATTCCGGTATTTTGTGAAAAGCGAATGGTCGCGGCTCCGCGTCAATTCTAAGATTGTTTGTAGACTTTCTCAATTCTCATTTACAATCTGGTTGTTATTTCACGTTATACAGTCTTTGTTCTACAAATAATTATTTCTTATACGAGGAAGGATTCTCAGAGCACTGCGAGGTAACTAAAGAGACATCACACCGATTAGGGCCCCAATCACACTTGTGAAACAGCAAACTGTCTGCATCCGAGTGTGCTCACCCGCCGGCTATCCCAGTGCCTGCAATTGCATGCCAGTGCCAGCTGTCATTGTGTTGTACAGTGCCTCCCATCCGCAGCTGACTGCATGAGTGTGCATGGAGCCTAAATCCATCAACCAGACTGTTTAATAAGGAGTGAGTCACTGGGCCATCCAGCTAAGGCCCCATTCACATTGAGCGATTTATCGCGCGGTAATTCCCGCGATATCGCGGCTATTTACCGCACAATATCACTCTTCAATGCTTTGCAATGGGGCAAAGGGTCCTGCTGTCGCGGGTCGTGTGTCGCTACAGCAGGACCCTTTTTGGAGCGGATTTTGCAGCGATTCCAGCTTGCTCAATGCAAGCATTTGCACGACAAATCGCGCAGTGTGAATGGGGCCTTAGTGTGTAAATTGCAGCTTGAGCGATTGAGGTCTGTAAATGACAAGATTCTTACACCAGAGGAGCCAGTGGGAGTCTAAAGCGCCACCTGGTGGCTGAAAAGGAGAATGCCAAGTATTATTATGCAATACCGTATACAGACCTGTCCGAGAGAAAGAGAACGCCAGGTATATAGGCACCTAAAGTGAACCTGTCATGACAGAAACATGCAGGCTGCCATTACAGCTTTACATTGTGCAAATGTTACACTTTCATGTCAGTTACGCAGACCTTACTGAGCCCAGCGCGTCATTGAGCTAGCCAGGCAACCAGCATCTTCTGAAGTGGATGGCTGATGACGGCCCCCCCTCCCCATCTGAGGAAAGGTTTACTTGCTGAGTAAGAAGCAAACTACAGAGGATCGCGGCAGAATCCGGATCCCGAGAATCCGGCACAAATATTATTTCTAGGTAAAAATATCCCATGAAGAAGGTTTTTACTTTTTTGTGGTTGTTGCTTTAAAGTGAACCTGTCATGAAAGAAAAACAAATGTAGGGGCGCTCAGCACATGACTGGGGGGCGCTCAGCACATGACTGGGGGGTATCCGACCTGGAAGGAAATCCTGGAGATAACTCAGCATGTGCGCTCACTGAAGATACAATGGAGTCAGTTCATGAAGTTATCCCACCATGACACATGTCGGATCCAGAAACAATCATCATCAGCTGAGTCCAATGAGGAGAGAAGATTGAAGTCACATGACTGAGAATAAGGATCGTTATCCTCGTGTGAAGTGACGAGTCTATAAATATCATTATACTTCTGGAGGATGTCGCGGGACATGGGGGGGTGTCGCCGGACACGGGGGAGGGGCTCTCTGGATCTGGAAGGTTCACGTATGAAATCATTGTAATAAATGCACCGCTATGAATAACAATGGTCACTGAAGGTGCATCACCCCGGACATGGCGCTGCATTGGCTTTGTCCGTTCACACTGCGTTGCTTTTTTTTGTGTGATTTGTGAATTTCCCTTTTACATACGCATGTAACATGTCCTGCGAGGCCAAACATCTGACTTATTTCTCTTTGCGTGCGTTGACGTGCGTTACACGCTCAACAAATGCTGGCTGCATTTGGGGTGACATTAACAAGTGATGTGTTGCGTGAATACGCGCCAATGCACGTGCATGGTGCGCTTTTGGAGCACGTTCACGCAGGGCCAAAGTGTGAAGGGGGCCTAACGCCGTGTAACCAAACGTCTTCCCCACGCGTGTGATCCAGCAAAACGCTCACATTGAGAAACGTTTCGGCCCGTGTCCCCCTCTACAGCACATGGCGGCAACTTCCTGTCAGGAGGTCCGCGCCCTTCTGTTATGGGGAACAATGGACTACAAGTGCGGAGACATCACCCCTCCCCCCCCACACGCTGATGGCGCTACCCGAGAGGCCCCTGACAGATGGGACTTGTAGTCATTTAATTGAAACAGGATTCTGCAAGAAGATTCCCCCCATCATTCCATAAAGAGGGGGGGGGGGGGGTATACGACTTTCCCAAATTATG